CTCTCTCTCTCTCTCTCTCTCTCTCTCTCTCTCTCTCTCTCTCTCTCTCTCCTTTTCCCTTCCCCATCCCCTCCCCCTCTCTCCCCTCTCTCTCAGGTCTCAGGGATCAAATTCATGTTATTATGCTCGAAAGGTAAACTCTTGACCAAGGAAGCCACCTCGCCATCTTATTATCACAGATTTTTACATAACTGTTTTATCGGTCGTGAATCTACTTTATTTATTTATGTACACTGTAGCTGTCTTCAGGCACATCAGAAGAGGGCATCAGACCTCATTACAGATGGTTGTGAGCCACCATGTGATTGCTGGGAGTTGAACTCAAGAACTCTGGGAGAGCAGCCAGTGCTCATAATCACTGAGCCATCTCTCCAGCCCCAAGCTGTTTTTTTTTTTTTTAAGTTTAATTTCCAAAGCCATAAAGTTCATTTATTGTAAACATACTCTGTAAAGAGTCAGTACATTTATAGAGGTACACAACTAGCCTTATAAGACATTTTGGTTCCTTGGTTTCTTGGTTCTTTGGTTTCTTGGTTTTCATGCTGGAGATCCAGTGCTAGCTTTGTGAATGCTTGGCAGGTGCTCTACCCCTGCAGCTAGATTACTTACCCTAAAACATTTACTGTATATATACAGTCTCTTCTGAAGCAATCCCTGCTCCAAGTCCCAGCCCAGGAAACCAGCATCCTACTCCCAGTCCCTGGAAAGATGCCTTTTGTGGACCTTTTAATCAGTGTAGCAGGCAGCATCCAGGAATCTGAGCTTTGGTTTCTCAGGAATGATGAAGTTGGCATACATTGTTTCTAAGCTTTTCTCTAAAGTCTGAATATAGATAGACTATCCCAAACCCCCAATGGTTTGCCTTAAGTTTTTTAAAATTTGTAATGATACAAAGATAAAAATGTTTAAGAAAATACCATCCTCTGAGTCTTTGAAGCTTTATTTTTGAAGTTCCCTATGTCAAGCACAGCTTAACAGTCTATAAACTTGTTAATCTGGGCTTTGTTATAGAGGTGCTGGCCTTGAACTTTGCAATCCAGAAAAACACAATTTAAAAGAATGATAAAATTTTGGTTAGTCACGACAGTGTTCTTTTTTTTTTATTGGATATTTTATTTACATTTCATATGTTATCCCCTTACCCCATCCCCCATCCACCCGGGAACCCCCCATCCCCTTACCCCTCCTCCTTCTTCTCTGTGGATGTAACCCCCACCTACCCCCCCCC